TGAGAGAGAGAGATGGACATTGATGGACGATGTTGGAGACGAGGACAGAGACGGAGCTGGGGGGGGGGACAGGAAGAGGGGGTGGAGGCTGGTGGGGGAAAGCCGGTGAGGGTTTGGAGAAGGAGCCAAAGGCCCGAGGCCAGGGCTGGGGCTCCCAGCCAGCAACAGGAGGGGACGGATTATTCGCAAAATGCCCGCCTCGCCCTGAGTTTCCAGGAGGTGATGTGGAGTTTCCATCCCTCAGTCTGTCTGCAGACAGCGGGTCTCCGCGCGGGAGGACTGATGAACCCCAAGTGCTGCGGGGTGAAAATTAATAACTGTCTCCCGGCTGCTCCCCAGGTGCCTGGCGCCAATGTCCTCTGCCAGCTTGCGGGCCAGCGGGGGACCGGTATCATTCTGGCCTTGAGATCTTGTAGGAGCCCGGGAGTGGGGGACGTGGTTATGAAAATCGCCACAGGGGGGAGAAAAAAAATAATGCGTCCTGTGGAGGGATTCGAACTAGCGGACCGAGAAGTCCGGAGTCGCAGGCCCCGCCCCGGTTTCCGTAGAAACCCTGGTGTCTCCATGGCAACTCTGCCAGGGTTCCCGCCCCCTTTTCCCGAGGCCGCTGGGTGCGCCGCCAGCCCGCTCACGTCACCAGCCCCGCGCCAGAAGTGAGGCGCCAGCGCCGGAAGCGGCCGGCGGAGGCGGCCTCGTGGACAGACGGCAGCATGGGGCAGTCGGGGAGGGTAAAACGCGGCTGGCGGGGAGTCGGGGGCGCGGGTGGGGACCCCGCTGAGGCCGCCGCGCTCATCGTTCGCCCCTCGCTCCTCTCCCCCGCCCCGCGCAGTCCCGGCACCAGAAGCGCGCGCGCGCCCAGGCGCAGCTCCGCAACCTCGAGGCCTACGCCGCGCAGCCGCACTCGTTCGTGTTCGCGCGAGGCCGCGCGGGCCGCAGCGTCCGGCAGCTGAGCCTGGACGTGCGGCGGGTCATGGAGCCGCTCACCGCCAGCCGCCTGCAGGTGCGCATCGGCGCGCGGGGGCCCCCGTGTCCGCGGGAGAGAGGGGCCCAGGGGGCGGGCCGTGGGGCAGGGCCCCGCGCGGCTGCCCCCCCACGGCCGTCTGTGTTCGTCCCCCTTGGCTGCCGGGAACGCGCAGGTTCGGAAGAAGAACTCGCTGAAGGACTGCGTGGCCGTGGCCGGGCCCCTGGGGGTCACCCACTTCCTGATCCTGAGCAAGACGGACAGCGCCGTCTACTTTGTGAGTGGCCCCGGGCCCCCGCCCCGCGCCCGCGCCCCGCGCCCGCCTCTGCTGATGAACCCCCGTGCCCTGAGCCGCCCTGATGCTGGCTTCAAAGTAAACGCTCTGAAGAGGTGGGGCGGGGGTCCCCCTGCCCCGCCCCCCCGCGCCCCCACCCTCACGGGCGC